CGTTAGGTGTCTTAACTAACCAGCAATACTTTCTTGGTCAAACAACTTAAAGGGGTCCTATTGTGCTTTTTTACTTTTTAATTTTAGTCAGTGTGTAGTGTGTGGCATAAAAAAGATCCACAAAGTTACAAATCTCAAAGTCCACTCCAAAGGAGTGCAACTAAAACGAACAGCTCGTTTGGACTACAGTGTTGGTTTTCGGGCTTTGTGATATCACAAAGCGGCCCATTATTAGAATATCATTAAAATAATTCCCGCCTACAGAAATTCGAATGGTTGGTGGGTGAGGAGGGGCGAGGTCATGGTTAGAATGCTTGGTGCATCAGACGAGAAAACGAAGAAGAAGAAGAGCTGCTGTAGCGTCAAGTTTTCGGCATGTCTAAAGGCGGTCGCACACCGGACGAGAAGCGTAGCGTCGCGCCGCGTCTAGAACAATTCTTACAACAAGTACAACACGACGTAGCTGGGCGGCGCCGGTGTGCGTACACTCATAAAAAATAATGTGTTCGAATTTTAAAGACGCTGCGCTTCTCGTCCGGTGTGCGACTGCTTTAAGAAGCGCTGTTTTTTTCACCTCCATGTTCTAGTACACCCCCAAAACAAAATCAAGACTTTGTAAAAGAGCATAATAGGATCCCACAGAAAAGCTGATTGATGGGCTTCTATAGAAATGTGGGTCCACCAACTAGACCAGCACTAAACTAGCAGTAACCAGCTTGTACCATCATGGAAAAGTCTGAAAGTCCAAGGAATATCTCCTCTTTTTCACCTTAACTAGTATTTATATACAGTGAAACCAAAAATTATTCAGACACCAGATATAATGTTAGATACATATTTTTAGTAGTGGGTGCAGGACACTATAGTTTATAAATGTAAGTGAGGATAGCAAAATAAAGTGAACTGTCACATATTATACTCACAAATTCTTCATGCAGTGGACTACCAGTGAAATTTGGGATAAAAAAATATTCAGACGCTTTGACCTGACCATGTTTTGCTTAAGTGTTTATTGCTAATGCTAACTTTTTACACCACAGACTGAACAAAATTAAGCATTGCTTGGTAATTAGTTGACCTAAATTGGTATTATCTCATTGTGTACTTAAATTTAACAGCTCAATAATTTTTGGTTGATTGTAATCCATTACATACCTTTCTATCAAAGTTATCTGACATTATCAAGATAAATTTGTTCTGATACACTTTAACTCTGAGGTCCTTGTCATATGTTATTACCAGTTTCTAAACTATAGCGAATAAACTGTTATATAATGTGAGAAAAGTTGAAGGTGTCCGAATAAATTTTGGTTTGACTGTATAACAACATGTTCAGCCAATCAAATCCCTTTGATAAAAATGCTCTACATGAGCCATGCATATGTACGACCTTGATAAACTGTAAATAAAACGTCAATAACAGCAATCATGCAAGATGTAACCGCCTAGAAACAAACATGCTGTGAAAAAAGCTCAGTTGTGAAGAATAAACACATATGTACAAGTATACACATACGTGCACATAAAAATCAACAAAGAACGTGTCGACAAAGATCAAAGAAGAAACGCAATCTCATATCAACTAAAAGGTAAACAAGACTCTTCATTCGCTGAAAGCCTCGTTCTTTAGTTAGTTTGGCAAAGAAAAGTTGTATTTCCAGAGAGAAGGAGTCTGCATAACTCACATTAATGTCTTCCTAACAGCACAGTCTGGCTTTCTGAGTGAGATATTAAACATCTGCTTTTCCTCCCTACACATGGAGTAAATCAGCCCAATGGGCATCCATCCTACGCTTTTTAACTTTCATTAATTGAATGATTCAGGGTCGTAAAAGCTTTCTTGACACCACCTACGTTTACCGCGAGAGTGCTGCTGTATTCAGGGGCCATGTAGGCTGGTGATTTATGGATTATTCATATGAGAAAAAATACTTCTAAAACAGTCTATCCCCCATTTAGGCCGAACAGACAGACGCTTATATTTGTCTCTGTAATGATTGCTGATGGCAATCATTAATATACCACAGGAGGGTGCTTACAAACTAATGTGACAAACCCAAAGCTTTAAAATCTCCATTTGAATGCAATTCAACAAACAATAAACACTTTTAGAGTGTTTATATCAATGCTGGAAGACTGCAGTGGGAAATAGAAACAACAACCAAGACGAGTAACAGAGTTAACTTTTGAACTGATGCACTTGTTTGGATATCAAATATTATACATGTACATAATGTCTATGTTTAAATAACATAGAGCCAATAATCCATGGCAAATAACATATTTCTGTACAGAGATAATGCCAAAATAATCAAAATAGTATGCTATAAAATAGCTCATGTCCTTTTTAACATTTCAAAATGACATTGAAATGACATTAATGACAATGTCATTATTCTGTGGAACACACCCCCTCAAAAAAGGGGATGGATGGATGGATGCATGGATAGATAGATAGATAGATATATAGATTAAGTTGAAAAGTTAAGTTCAGTTCAGTTCAGTTCAGTTCAGTTCAGTTCAGTACATTTATGTCCATATAACGAAAGTCAATGGGGTCCAATGATGTTTAGGACCATTGTATACACAAAAACATTCCTCAAAATATCATCTTTTGTGGTCTACATAATAAAGAGCAGTTTGGAACAACATGAGGTTGAATAAATGATGACAAGATTTTCATATCTGGCTGAACCTTGGTCCAATCACAGTTCACATGCTAAAACCTCAGTCCAGTCATGGTACCGGTACAATAACCTCTGTCCAATAGCAAGTTATGTTCATATGTCAAAACTTCTATCCAACCTTAGCTCACAATTCACAGACTACAATATCTCTCCAAACACAGTTAACATGCTAAATCTTTAGCTTTGTCGAATCACAGAGAGCCTTACCGTCCATGTGACCTGTATGGTGGTGGGGCTGAGGACCACAGGGTTGTGTAGCCGCACAATAACCTCACCCAACTCCTTCTGCACGTGTCTGTGATCCACTCCCTGAGCTGGAGGACTTATATCTGTAAATAGAGAGACAGAGGCCAATGCCATTACCTCTTATAGTGCTCTGACAATGCTAAATTACTGGCTGGTACAACATAATCCCTTAAATACAATTTAATCCCCTAAAAGAGCAATGAGGAGTCGTTTTCACTGACTCCAGCCGCAGACAGCACAGCTTCAACCCAACCTGTGAGGTTGCATCCGCCCAAGGTCTCAGAATCAGTCACCCCTAATGAACAAACGGAGGACTCCATGGCACCTTAATCGAATCTTTTTCCACTCGAAGTTGGTCCTTTTTTCTCCTCGTAATGATCATTAAGGTACCAGCCAGACCACTAACTCAATTCTACACTCCAAAAGTAGATGATGTTTGTTCTACGCTATACTCCGTCTCTGGAACTAATGAGCGTATGGGACCGTTAGACCATGTGGTATCTAGACTAGATCTCGTCCTCTGTGAGCAACAGCTAGAATTTAATTGGAAGTCTTTGACACGGGCACCGTTCATATGGGTTTCTTACCAAAAGGAACTTTATACACAATTACAGCTAGAGTGATTCTAATCTCTATCAAATACCTTGAGTGCGGACGGGTTCGGACATGGGGCTCGGGTCACTCAGGCCTTGGACGTTGACTGCTCGCACCATGAACAGGTAGATGGTGTTGGGGCGAAGACCCTTAATGGTGTACTGGGTGGTCTTGACATGATCGGCCACAGTCTGCCAGCTGTTGCTCACCGATTGGCTGCATGCAAATGAGGCAGAGTGATGTCAGAGTTTGAAATGTCTTCATACACTTTAGTCAGAGTGGATGCCATATATGCTTGAGGTTCTATGTCACAACACATATTTTTCTAGGATTTTGTATGTTAGAAATGTGTATAAAGACGTATATCCAATGTTTTGTCATCTGAATGTACAATATATTAAACAGACTGGACATCTCAAATCCTCACTGGTCTAAAATGAAAAATAGCATCTACTTTGTTTAAACTTTCTGACTGAGTACTTGACAGGAAAATTAACAAATTTAAGGTACAACTTCAGAAAAGGAACTTAAAGGCTAAATAAACTAAACTACTACAAAATTCACACCTGAAAGCCTCAATAACATATGATGAGATGGGTGACGCTCCAGGAAGGCCAGGCTGCCAGGACAATGACACGCTGTTTTTAGTGACGTCTGTGACCTGAGGTTTGGAAGGAGGACCTGGGAGCTCGTTCTCATCCCGGTCTTTAACTACAACAAGACTTCCAGACTCTAAAGAGAAAAAAAAAGAAAATTGAGAAGTTCTGGAACTGTTTCTGGAAGAATAACATTACTTAAAAACACATCCACTTTTAAAAATAAAGGTTCTTGTCTATGGTTCCATGAAGAATCTTTAAAGGGGTCATATGATGCGATTTAAATTTTTCCTTTATCTTTCGAAGCGGAGTCCAGCCCGGGGTCGTCACATGTGGTTGCCGCAAGCCCTCCGGACGCTCATAAGATATACAGTATAAGTCATTATAATCCATAATTATGTCCCCAATGGATGCAACGAATGCCTCGTTTATAATGGGTTTTCATGTTTTTGAATCATCGCTCTGGCCTGACATGGCAAGGGGCGTGACATTTCCGTCTCACGCTTGAGGTATTCGGCCAATCACAACGCACTGGATAGCTGGCCAATCACAGCACACCTCACTTTTTCAGACCGATGAGCTTTGTAAAAATCGACACGTTTCAGAAAGGCGGGGCATAGAGGAGAAACAATAATCTACAGTATGTGGAAAATAATGTGTTTTTTGAACCTTAAACCGCATAAACACATTTCATTACACCAAATACACAAAATACTGTTCTTTTTAGCAGCATCATATGACCCCTTTAACATCTATGGAATCTTCTCATTGCACAAAAGGTTCTTCAAAGTGGAAACAGGTTCTTCAGGGGGTTCTTTTATAAACTGTTCACTAAAAAAGTTCTTTGGGGATGCCAAAATGGTTCTTCTATGGCATTACTACAAAAACTTTTTGAACATGAAGGTTCTTTATTGGCATCAATGGTTCCATGAAGAACCTTTAACATCCATGGAAACATTTCATAGCACAAACGTTTTTTTTTTTACACTGGGCAAATGTTCTTCAGATTATTCAAATATTTTTCACACTAGGAAAACAAAAATGATTCTTTTAAGAACTGTTCACTCAAAGGTCCTTTGGGGACCTCAAAATGGTTCTTCTAAGGCATTCCTGCAAAACCCCCCTTTTAAAACCTTTATTTTTAAGAGTGTCTTTTGTAAAGATGCACATAAGTACCTTTGACTTCCAAGAAAGCACTCCAAGATGTTTCCCCACTAGAACTTGCTGCCACACAAGTATAGATACCAGAATCAGAGAGCTGAAAAACAGAAAAAAGCATGCATTGATCTTTATATCTTCAAGCACTGTGAATTCACTAAACGGCTAATCAAATCGACTCATGGTAAGTACAAGCTTTCGATCTGAGAGATGTAACCTCGGGCACGTCCAGTTCAGCTAAAGCGCTGACACTAATATGGCAGATATATTCTATTTTCCGCACCCTTCAGCCAGCTTTTATCCTTGCTTGCAAATTTACAAACCCACCCACTAACCGCAACAAGAGTTAGGCTAATTCATTTAAAGGGGTAGTCGCTGAAACCCTCTGGACCGTTGACAGCTGGCGTATGTTCCCCCCTCTCTACTTTCCGGGACGATCTCCTTGTTGTTTGTTGCCTTTCATCAGGGTGCCTCGCCTCCATTTATTAGATAAAATGTCAGAGGTGGGCAGCACTGTCAGGCATAATGGCTATTCCATCCCGAGCTGACGGGGAGGGCTTGGGGACTTTAAATTCAATATGGTCCTAAAAGTGTGTTTGTTTGTGTGCGCGTGTGCAAATGTGTGTGCAGCTGGAGCCCGTCCAGGCTTCCGTAAATGATTCTTGGGAGAGCTGTCATATCCCTAAGTGATAGTATCAAACAATTTACCAAAATCAATATTTCCCATTCATCCCGTAATGCAATATGATTCCCTCTGCCCGTCTCTGTTATGTTTTACCGATATCTGATTGAATTCTGCTAAGCTTATACATCACAATTAGATGAAGACGTTTCTGACAACTGGTAGTCACACAAACGCACACATATGACCTTAGAAATACACAATGACTGATACACATCTGGGCATTCATATTAGGGATATATTGGTAGCTATATCAGTGTTGGCTAATATAAAAACTGGTCCAATTTGGTCAGTATTGAAAGATAATGTTCTTTTTTTTTTCTTTCAAATAAAGTCAAACAGGATATTTTTTTTCTATGCCAAATTTGTTCAATAAATAAATAAAGTAAAAAAATATATATTATTATTATTGTAAATATTTATTTATTTATTTGTATTACATTTTTCATCTGGGTGCATTCCAAATTCATACTCTCATAACA